AGAGAGACTTGTTAGGTGACACCCTCCACTGCCACCTTCCCTCTCCCTCTTATTTTTAAATTGTATTTACATGTGTGTGTGTGTGTGTGTGTGTGTGTGTGTGTGTCACAGCATGCATATGGATAGCTATGGGAAGTTAGTCTCTTCTTCCATCATGTGCTTCCCTGGGATCAAACTCAGATGATAAGGTTTAGAGGCAATAAACAAGCAAACAAATGTTTTCAGAGAGTTTAAAACTAAAAAGTAAAACAGCAATGGTTTTCTTCCATAGTCGATAATAAACGGCAGAATTTTTTTTAAACTACCTATATTTACTTACTGCGTGTGTGTAGCCCGATACATTCACGTGGTGGCAAGACAATGTACAGAAGTTGGTCACAGGTATCAAATGGAAAGCAGCAGGCTTGGCTAGAAGCGCCTTAACCCAAAGGTAGAATTTTTTGTTGTTTGTTTGTTTGTTTGTTTGAGAAAGGGTCTCACCATGTAGCACTGGCTTTACTGGAGTTCACTATGTAGACCAAGCTGGCCTTAAACTCACAGAGATCTGACTACTTCTGCCTCCAGAGTGCTGGAATCAAATGTATGCACCACTATGCCCAGCTCCAAAGGTAGAATTCTTTATGCCTAAGGTAGGCCAGACTCTAGTGTGCTTGTTAAAAAGCTAATCCCTTGGAGAAGGAGCTGTTCTAGACTTTTGCAGATCAATAAAATCGTTGGGCATTTAAACTGATCTCTGTAGACATTTCAGATAAGGTTAACTTAGGAACAAGGGCTTCTAGGAATACACACCAGAGGTTTAGACCAATGTCCTAGCCTACCTGATGGGACAGACACACCTCTTACCACGTCTCTCCATTCACAGTCACCTATGAAATGGCCACACACACACACACACACACACACACACACACACACACACACACACACACAATACAACAGGCTTGGGAAAACTCACCCTCAGGTAAACTAGAGACTCAGGAACTTCACTCATTGATCCAATTAGCACATTTTTAGCTAGGCATGGTTGTGTACTGCATACTAGTGTCTAGCACTCAGGTGGGTGGCAGAGACAGAATGAGCAGCAATACAAGTGAAAGTTCAGCCTGGCCGACATAGTGAGTTCCAGGTCAGCCTGGACCACATAGTGAGAACTCAACATAAAACAATAAAAACAACAACCTAAATTAATCAATACATAATACCTCTTCCAAAGAGCTGTGCTTGGAGACATGTATGATTGGTTTCAGCACCCGTGAAGCTGAGAGAATTACTTGAGCCCAGGAGTTTAGGAGTTCCAAGTTCAAGGCCAGACTTAACAACACAGTAAGAGTCTATCTCCAAAGAAGAAAGAAAACAATAATAATAATAAAGGAAAGAAAAATGGTCATGTTCATGCTTAGGAGATTTAGGCCTGAAAATAAGAGTTCAAGGCCAGCCTCTGCTACATGGCAAGGTGAAGTTTAGCACCCTAAGCTATCAGAAAACCTTGTCTCAAAACAAATAAACACAAACAAGCTGGACATATGAGAACCCCGCTGCACTCTCAGCACATGGGAGAGGAAATTTGAATTGCTACAAGTAAGAGACCAGCCTGGTCTACATATCAAGTCCCAGGCTTATAAGGAGACCCAACTCAACAAACAAAGAACAAAAGAAAACACAGTAGGAAGTCTCCACATCTCTCAAATCTGCATTCCTCCTTCACACTCGTCAAAGCATCTACAGCTGACATTGCTCCCATTTATTCTGCTGTGAGAGACACTGGTGGTCTTTCTGTAGCCATTTGCCGTTTGGTGCTGTGTTTATTTTGATGTTTTTGAAGCAGGGTCTAGACATGTAGCCCAGGCTGCTCTCAAATTCTAAAACTGCCGGACTCAACCTTCCACATGCTGTTTTTATTGGCGTGCCCGATTAAGATGCTGTTTTTATCCAGTCAGGTGTGGTGACACATACCTTTGATCTCAGCACTTGGGAGGCAGAGGCAAATGGATCTCTGTGAGTTCGGGGCCAGCCTGATCTATAAAATGAGTTCCAGGACACCCAGGGCTACACAGAGAAACCCAGTCTCGAAAAACAACAAAAGACGCTGTCTTCTCAAGACACAGTCAATCCTTTTGAGAAAGAGCTATTGTTCTCCCCCCCCCACACACACACACCATAATCTTATCATCTCTCTGTAGTCAGCAGCTCAGCTTAAAATCACCTCAGCCACCATGCACCTGCCCATCCGCAGATCCATGTCTACTTTTTCTCCCTTGTTATTGACAGATTCTTATGAAATACTAACCTATCCTAATGTTCAGACTATCCTTGCCCTCACCTCGAGTCTGTCTGTCTGTCTTTCCTTAGTGTTTCCTCCAACACCACTATACCACTATTCCCTCCCAACTTCCGTGTATTTAACTCCTCTGAATCCACTCAGCATTGCCAATATGTGCGTGTGCGTATGGCCATCAACTGGACCATGTGCGCATGCTGGAAGGAAAGGGACTCGCTGTCTCCTAGCAACAATCAGTTGCCAATTGCTTCTCAGCTAGGGGTGTGATTTTTTGTGACCACCTCCCCCATCCATCCTGGGATTTTTGACCAGCTTGATCTTTCTCAGGTCTCATGCATCCTGTCACAGCCATTGAGTTCATATGTATAACTGCCCTGTTCAGTCCAGAAAATGTTATTTTACTATAGTCATCCACCCTCTCTGGCTTCTACAGTCTTTCTGAAGGAATCTTCCTGCATGATCTCGGAAACTTGGAAGAGGGAGGTGTAAGGGTTTTTCTGGTGCAAGGGCATCTTGGCAGTTAGGAGCCAGGGAATACCACAAAGTCACACCATGAAACAGACCTCACACAACAGATTTGTTGGGGAGAAACAGAATGGTGGCTGCCTCTGACTGGGAGCAGAGAGACCAGTGGGCTGAGCAGAGGAGGGAGAGGGCTGCTATAGGGCCTTTGGCATATTTGTGGTGAGCTAGTGGCAAAGTGCAGCGAGACCAGAAGTGTTATTAGGCCTTCTATGAGGCTGAGTCACAGCGGTGGTGTGTGTGTGTGTGTGTGTGTGTGTGTGTGAATTTCCAAGTCTCGGAGGTCAGGTTCAAGCCAGGGGTAGAGTGTTTTTCCTTGGCCCTTTTACCCTACAGGAGGTGACATTTCCATCCCATTTGGGGATGAGCACTCTGTAATCCCTTGTTCTCTGCATGTTGATTAGATGTGGGTAGCTTAATTGCTGACTACTGCTAAAAGAAGCTTCTTTGATGTCAGTGGAGAGATGCTACGTGATCTTCATATAATGATAAATCTTTAGGAGACGGTTTAATAGTAAGTCCATTTAGCAGAATAATAGTAATAGGTTCTCCATTAAAGTCTATAACCTATCTAACCACCAGTTCTTGGCCAACTATCAGTCAGTTTGAGGCAGGAGTTCTGTCTTGTAGAGTGGGCCCTAAATCCAATCAGAAACCACACCTTGAGTTGTTAAACGACTCTTCCATGATCCCAGCCTTGAGAACGAATTGCCTGCCATCCAGTCTGGCTCAGACTTCCCTCCTTTCTGAACACCTGGACCCCACGTGGTAGAAATAGCCCTCTGATCTTCAATGGAGTGCCTTGGCACATGCATGCCCTGACCCTCACACACGCAAAATAAATTTCCATGTCTCCAAATCCAGCAATGTCTTCTCCAATGACAATGAGAAAAGAAAAAACGATTCAATATGATCTTTCTTTCTTTTTTTTTTTTTTGGGGGGGGGGGGTTGTTCTCTGTGTAGCCTTGGCTATCCTGGGCGTCTTTGTGTAGCCCTGGCTGTCCTGGAATTCTCACTGTAGACCAGGCTGGCCTCAAACTCACAGAGATCTGTCTGCCTTAGCCGCCCCAGTGCTGGGATTAAAGGCGTACATCACCACCGCAGGGCGGACTTTGAAAACGATTAACAGTAGGCAGATGGAAAGGTAAGGTTTTAAGCCAGGTTTGGTGGCCTGAATTCCAGCACTGGGAGTGCTGAGACAGGAAGATCAGAAACGCAAGGCCAGGCCAGGTGTAGTGAGGAGCCCCTGAATCCCAACATTCAGGAGCAGAGAGACAGGAAGATCTCTCTGTGAGCCCACCCAGGCCAGCCAGGACGTCATGAGATCTGAGGCAATGGTGGAGGGAAATTTACAGAAGTTGTAATTTTATGGACTGGGGTTGTAGTTCAGTAGTAGATGGATTCGTATGCAGAAATAAGGCCCTTGACTTGAGCCTTGCACTGAAAAAACTGAGCCCCCTGTGGTTTACTGAAAGGAAATTCACAAGGGACAAGAAATGGGTTGTTTTCATCAAATCCCGGGCTGTAATTTGATTTGCTAAATAGGCAGTCTGCTCACACAGCTTGCTCGGAATTCTTTAGGAATTCCACTTGCCCTCAGGAATATTTACAGCTTGCTTTCTCCCCACCTCTCTCTCCCTCATCTTTCTTGCCTTTTTTTTTTTTTTTTTTTTTTTTTTTTTTGAGACAGTGACTCACTATGTAGACCAGGCTGGCCCAGGAGCTCACAGAGATCCGCCTGCCTTTGCCTCCCAGTGCTGGGATTAAAGGCGTGCGCCGCCACACCCAACAATATTTACAGTTTTTAGTTTCCCAGGAGCAGGGCGTGGCAGCTCACGCCGCCTCCAAATCACAGCAGTCTGCTGAGGCTGAGCAGTACAACTCCGGGGTTTCCAACTCAGCTGGGCTACGTAAGTGAGTTCCAGGCCAGCCTGGGAAACAGTAGTACCCTGCTTCAAAAAAAAAAAAAAAAAAGTTCAGAGGAAAAAGCCCAATACTATTGGCTTTGGCTTTACCACTGAGCCACGGCCAGACTTTAGCATCACAAGTTGTTGGGGGTGGGTGGGATCAGAAGGTTGGGGAACGGAAGAGGGCATCAAGGCAACAGGAAGTAGGAGGAGATTTCTAAAAGCCGACTGAGGCCAGAGGTCATTTGGAAGCTGGAAGAATTTTCTTTCGGTGGGTTCCTCTAATGTGAAGATGGAGCGTGCTGGAAGCAAGGAGGTGAGAGCAGTTTTTTTTTTTTTTTCCGGGGGTCGGCTTTCCAAATAGGTGGGTCTCATGCCTCTCCTTTCCGAGCACACCCCAGCCTTTGTTTTGGGGAGAAAACAAGGAGCATTACAATTTGTTCCACGCAGGTGTGTGGCTCTGCAGCGTGCCCGCTCACACAGCCCTGCACGAGGCCCCCCAGGGCCTGGCTGCTGTAGGTGGGTTAGGAGAGGGGCTTGTGTTTTGGAAGTGCTGTTTTGCTGGGAAAGAATTTAGAGTGCCATGGCTGGAGAGAAGTGGTCACAGGATAAAAGTAGGGAGGTAAGATGAAGCTGAGGCTTTGGGTAGCGGTCTGTCTTGGAAGGAACAAGAGGCACCAATTACCTCTTAGAGGGCCAGAGGCCTTAACCCACACGTGCCTGCTGTAGGGATTCCAGGCTCCTTATCTTATCCAAGAGTCCTCAGGGTTGAGGAATTCCCGGAAGGCAGACCCAAATGACAAGCCTTGCTGGTTCCTAACTGCAGGAGCCAGACTCCTGAGCGCCCTCCAGATCTCCTTCCCAAGACCCTGCCATTTCCAGCTTTCTTAGTGTAAGAAGTTTGTCAGGTCCAAAAGTGAATACTTTGGGGAAAGGATATGCAAACGTAAATCTTGAATGTCAGTGTGAAGCTCGTTCCGATGAAGATGTAAAAGCACTGAGGTGTAAAGTAACATACGAATTTTAATTTGTCTCTCACTCCAGCTCTTGGGGGGTGGGGCTTGGAAAGGATTTAGGTTTGAGAGCGAACTGACCAGGGGTTGCTTTTATTTATTTACTTACTCATCTTGTTTTTCCAGGCAGGGTTTCTCTGTAACAGTTCCTCTCCTGGAACTCACTTTGGCCTCTAACAGAGATCAGCCTGCCTCTGCATCCCAAGTGCTGGGGTTAAAGGCGTGCGGCCCCCCAGTTTATTCATTTATAAAATAAATTTATTTTTTATTTTACATCCCAGCCGCAGAGTCCCCTCCTTCCTCTCTTCCCAGCCCTTCCCCCACCCACTCTTCTGTTTCCACCCCCTAGTCCACTCCTCCTCCGTTTCTGTTTAGGGAAGGGCAGGTCTCCCGTGAGAGACCAAAACATGGCATCTCAAATTGCAGTAAAACTAAGCAACTCCTCATGTATTAAGTAAGGCTGGGCAAGGCGACCCAATAGGAGGAGTAGGGTCCCAAACGCCTGTAAATGAGTCGGAGATAGCCCCTGTTCCCGCTGTTAGGAATCACCGAAGAGGACCAAGCTACACAACTGTATAACATATAGGCAGAGGGCCTAGATGAGTCCCTTGCGGGTTCCCTGGTTGTCGGTTCAGTCTCTGTGAGCCCAGGTTAATTGATTATGTGTTTTCTTGTGGTACTTGACCTCTTTGGCTCCTACAATCCTTTCTCCCCCTCTAATGCAGGATTCCCTGAACTCCTAATGTTAGGCTGTGAGTCTGCATCTGCTCCATCAGTTGCTGGATGACACCACTCTGATGACAATTGGGCTAGGCACCAATCTATGTGTGTAGTGGAATATCATCAGGCATCATTGCATTGACATTTTTCCCCCTCCAGTCATGTCTGGTTCTATACTAGGTCTCTGGGTCATCCAGCCTGTGGGTCCTGGTGCTCCAGGCAGTGTCAGGAGTGGGCTCAGTCTCCTGTCATGGGTTTTAGGCTAGACCAGTCATTGGTTGGCCACTCCCTCAACCTCTAGGGGTCACCCTTGAGCCCAGCACATCCCATAGGCAGGACAGACTAAGTCAAAGGTTATGTGGCTGGGTTGGTTTTCCACTCCCTCCGTTTGAAGTCTTGGCTGGTCACAGGAGATGGCCAATTCAGGCTACCTATCCGCTATTGCTAGGAGTCTTAGCTGGGGTCATCCTTGTAGATTCTATTTCCCCTCTCCAGGGAGATCCGGGTGCCCCCCTTCCATGAACCTTCTTTGTTACCTAGTCTCTCTGGGTCTGTGGATTGTAACATAGTTATCTTTTATTTGACAGCTAGTATCCACTTAAGAGTGAGCATTTACCATGTTTATCTTTCAGTCTGGGTGACCTCATTTTTTTTCTAGTTCCATCCATTTGTCTTCAATTTTCCTGGTATCCTTGTTTTTAATAGCTGAGTAATACTCCACTGTGTAAATGTGTCACATTTTCCTTAGCTATTCATCGGTTGAGGGACATATAAGTTGTTTCCAGGTTCTGGCTATTACGAATATAGTTGAGCATGTGTCCTTGTGGTATGATGGAGCATCCTTTGGGTATATGCCCAAGAGTGGTATAGCTGGGTCTTGTGGTAGATTGAACTGCAATCTTTCTTTCTGTAATTACATGTAATTTTATTTTATTTTTTCTTTTTTTGTGTTTGTTTTTTTTTTGTTGTTCTTTGTTTTTTGTTTGTTTGTTTGTTTGTTTTCCAGACAGGGAGACAGGGTTTCTCTGTGCAGCTTTGGAGCCTGTCCTGGAACTTGCTCTGTACACCAGGCTGGCCTTGAACTCAGAGATCCTCCTGCCTCTGCCTCCCGAGTGCTGGAATTAAAGGCGTGCACCACCACCGCCATACTTTAATGAGCTTTTAACTTTGCATCCATCCTGCAGGTTGAAAAGACAGTAGTGTTTGTGAAGTTACGTGAAGATTAAATGAAGATAAGGAGTGTGCCTTGTCCATTATCTACTTGTTAGTTTTTCTGTGTTTAGCTATGTTTTTGTAGTCTCTTTGTTCCCTTAATTAAATCAGTGGATATTTATTATTACTGAGTGCCAGCAATGGAAGGGAAAGAGACCTACTCTTGTGGAGTTGAGAAGCAGGTGGAGTTAACTCATAGGAAGCTGCAATTGGCAAGTAAAAATGAGGCAGTCTGGTTGATTTGGCTGGAAAGAGATTCCAGCCAAATAACGCTTGAACTGGGCCTGAGGGGGTAAGGTGTGGTAATTGAAGTGGAATTTGGATGGGTTTAGAACCACGGACTGAGGGAAAACAGGCTTTGGGGTGAGAGATAAAATGGAGTAAGAGGCAGGCTCCTGACTCCAAAAGCAGACTAGTACTCCTGCTTTGTGGCTTCCTTCCTGTTCCTTTGGTTTGTATCTCACCTTGTACTCTGGGTTTCAGTGTGTCACCTAAACTTGGCCTGAGGCTCATTATGGCTTCTAACTGTTGGTAATCCTCCTGCATTTGCAGCCCAAGTGCTAAGATTGCAATTACTGCAGCATTTTTCTTTCCTTAAAATAGTCTCACAAGGGACTCTCAAGTCATGCACGCCTTTAATCCCGGCACTGGAGCAGAGGCAAGTGGATCTCTGTGAATTCGAGGCCAGCCTGAAGAGAGTGAGTTCCATGTGACACAGAGAAACCCTTGAAGGGAAAATAAAAAGAATCTCCTGGTTAAAATTGTGTTGCCAACAAGCCTGTTTTTCCTGCTGGTTACGTCTCATTTTCCCCAACCATTGCTTCCCTAGTTTATACGTCAGACTGCTTATTCAAATGATGCCCCGTGAGAATTCACACTGGCAGTCACATGCAGTGACCTCTTGGGGGAACCTTAGATGTGAGTTAGTTTAGGGCAAGTAAGGGGATGTGCTGGCTCAGGATAGCGGATAACTGTCTGACTCCTGTCCATAGTGGAGCGGCACCGGAGAGTCAAAGGAGGTGGACCGCCAGATGTCCAGCCAGCCAAGCACGTCCTTTGCAAAGAGCCCGGCAAAGGGGAAAAAACAAAGAAAGACAGTGAAAGATAACGGTAAGAGTCTGTAAATGCTTAGTCCTGCATCTTTCTGTCTAAGAAACTTAAGAAATCTTCCCTAAGTATAAAAAAGGGATGAAAAATGTCTGCACTTGGCTAGCTTTGTACTTCCTCTGGGGTCTAACTGAGTTCTGTTTTCCAAAGAAAGGAAGATGCTTCCCATCTCCTGCCAAAGCTAATCCTTCCCATCATATGACTCCCATCATATACTTGGCTCTGATAGTCATTTTGCTGGGGGTGGGGTGGGCGGGGGGGGGGGGGGGGAGCTAATAGGCAAGGATTGAGGGTCCATTGCACATGTTATCCTAAAACAGTGAGGATAGACCTAATCTTTAAGTGGTGGGGTGGAGGGGTTGGTAGTGATCTGCACAAACTCTAATGGGGCTTACCGTCTGTACCGTCTGTCTGTCCCGTGAGATGTGGTCTAGGAATCTCACAGAATTGTAACTGTGTGAACCTAGAGGCTGGGGTGGGCCTTCTGTGGTAAAAGGACTTGGCAGCACTGAGTATTGATGACCTCAGATCTAGTTAGTCAGTTCCCTGGGATAGAATGGTCACCAACTAACTGCACTCCTCCTTGGAGGGTCCTCAGAGGAGCAAGCCTTTGCTAGCTTAGGCTTAACAAAGATTTGAGATTTGAAAGTCTAGGCTTTGAGGTGTGTCCCCTATAGTCCGTATGATCTTTGGTGGATCATTAAGCATGCACCTCTTTCGACATTAGGGGACTGCTATATACATAAAGAGCCAAAAGTGGTTGTGTGTGCTTCGTTCAAATCCTACAGAGCTGTGCAAAAATGGTTGCTATTCCCTTTGTCCCTCAGATTGTAAACCAAAGGAGGAAGCAGGAGATGCTGAGACTCCAAGACCCGCTCGTAGGAAGGTACCAATTCCTCCTCTACCGGCCCATCTGCCCCCAGTGAACCTGATTCACCGAGATGTTTTGCGGGCATGGTGCCAGGAAGTGAAGTTGAGCAGCAAAGGCCAGGTGGGGCCCCAGTGGGGGCCTCTTGCTGAGTGGGAGTGTGGAACCAAACTTTTCACTAACAACTCTTTTCTTTGTTGTTGTTTTTGTCTTAGAAATTAGATGCTTATAAACGACTCCTTGCAAGGGCTTTCCCAGATCAAATGGTAACTATTTACTTCTTGAGACTACTATTTAGTGTTTAGCCCAGGCTAGCCTCACAGTCCGCGTGTGGAACAAAGCGACTTCAAACTCAAGGTCTGCCTACCTCCCATTGGTCAGCGTTTTAGATACGCACCGCCCTCCATGCCCAACATGAAGAGTGGCAAAGAGAAAACTTTGGTTCTTCCAATAAACGTCTTTCCTCATCAGGGAATAAGTTGAGGAATTGTCTTGGCCCCCTTTTACCCCTCTACCCCCAATTTGAAGAGAGAACATGAAGCAATAAAACTAAGTAAGGTCCTTTTCATTTTTTGGTGCTGGAAAATGAATCTAGGCTTTTAATGCATGTTCCACCACTGATCTTCACCCCAATCCCTACCTCACCCCCTCTTTTTTTTTTTTTTTTTTTTTTTTTTTTTGATGAGTCTATATGTAGCCCAGGCTAACCTAAACCTCAAGCACTTCCTTTCTCGGGCTCATAATTACACATGTGTGCCACCGTAGTTTGATCACTCCCTTATTTCTGTTCATTTTTGATGTAGAGTTTCACTGTGTAGTCCTTGCTGGCCTGAAACTTGCAGTAGCAATCCTCCTGCCTCTGCATCCCAAGTGCCTGGCTAGCATTTTGATTTTGAGACTAGGATTCATTGTGCTACTGCCTAGGCTAGTCTCAAATTACTGGCGTGAAGTGATGCCCTCACCTCCTGAGTAGCTGGGACCACAGGCATCCATCCACCCTGGCCTCAACTGAAGAACACTTAGCATCTTTAGCGAACCTAGTGTGTTCTTACTAACTCTTGTCGCTGCATTGTCTGGGTCTCCTTTAGTTCTGTGCCTTGAACCCAGGGCCTTGGACATGCTCGGCATGTGTTCTGCTACTGAGCAGTTTCTCCAGCTTTGCTTGATCTGTTCACCTAATCCCTTCTGTCTAACTGAACTGTACTGTCGCTAACACCTCCCTCACGCAAAGCCGCATTTCTGGTCCCCTTTTAATCTTGATATCAGTTCGTGCCTTCTCTGTTGTTTTAAGACAGTCTCTTTGTTATTTGCTAATGGATTCCCTAGCCTAGCTGGCTAGGTAGTCTCCTGTTCCACCTCCCATTCTGCTATAGGAGCATTGGAATAGAATTACAGATGTCTGCCACTCCGTGTGCCTTTTTCTATGTGGATTATTTCTACGTGGATTATAGAGATCCGAATTCAGGTCTCCCCCCCCCCCCGTGTTTTTACTCACTGAGTTGTCTTAGCAGCTATTAATATTTCCCATTTATTATCTATAACATCCTAGCCCGATTTAAAGAACATTCCCGACACACCCAAAGAGGCCAGAGTGAAGACATTTCGAAAGAAAATGAAGACAGAGGAGGGCGAAGTGCCTTGTCCTCAGATGGCAGTTCCCCTTGAAGTGGTCCCTGTACCTGTACCCGAGGAGCAGGTACCTGCCCTTACTGAGCCTCCTGTGCTCTTTGAAGAAGTCAGCACCACTGTTGTGACCACAACTGCCTCGGAGGCCGTGTTGGCATCTTGGGCCAGAATTGCAGCCAATGCTAAGAAAAATGAGGCAGTGCCATCCACGGCAACATCAGAGACCTATGGTAAGCCAAATATTAGAACCAGACACAGCCACCAGTGATTCCTGGACCCCGCCCATCTGGGGTGGGGCCTGTGAGCTAGTATTCATTTGGCTTATTGAGATGAGGGTCTTTTTGTTTTGTTTTTCAAGACAGGGATTCTCTGTTATATAGCTGCCTGTCCTGGAACTCACTTTGTGGACCAGGCTGGCCTTGAACTCACAGAGATCCACCTGCCTCTGCCTCCCGAGTGCTGGGATCAAAGGTGTGTGCCACCACCACCCAGCTTGAGATAAGAATCTTAAAAGTATAACCCAGGGTGACCTCTGTTTGCCCTTAGCTTATGCTGAGATTACTGGTATTCACCACCACCCCTGTCTCCAACTGAGGGTCTACATTTCTAAAAGCTACCCAAGCAGTAATGAGGATGCTGATCCAGGGAATCGCACTTTGAGAATTACTTCAAATTACTCATGCACCAAGCAAGAAGCGATGTGCTGTGGTGTCATTTCTTCCCCTTGCATTAAAGAACTCTCTGGGATTGGGGTTGGGATCTCTTTGTTAAGTAGGCGATGCTAACAATCTCCTGTTTCTCGTTGTAAAATAGATGTAAGTCAGAAAAGGCATCTCTTCCTTAGGGTTTCTGTTGTTGTGATGAAACACCATGACCAAAGAGCAAGTTGGGGAGGAAGGGGTATATTAGGCTTACATTTCAACTTTGCTGTTTAATCACTGAAGAAAGTCAGGACAGGAACTCAAACAGGGCAGGGTTCCAGAGGCAGGAATTGATGCAGCGGTCATGGCGGGGTGCTGCTTACTGGCTTGCTTCCCAAGGCTTGCTCAGCCCACCTTCTTATAAAACCCAGGGCCAGCAGCCTAGGGATGGCAACCACCCACCATGGGCTGGGCCCTCCCAGGTTGATCACTAAATGAGAAAATACCTTACAGATGGAGCTCAAGGAGGCATTTCCTCAACTGAGGCTCCTTCCTCTGATGACTCTAGCTTGTGTCAAGTTGACACACAAAACCAGCCAGTACAAGACATCGTAAGCCAATTATCATCCCAGCACCTGAGTAGGAGGATCAGGAGTTTGAGGTCAACCTGGGTTACATGAGACTTTCAAAATAGCAATAGAGAGCTTACGTTGTAAGAATAACAGAAAATGCAATAAAGGAAAACATGCTTAGTGTGATGCAGTGGGTGTCAAGGTCTTAGTTGAGGGCTGGAAAGATGGCTCTGAGGTTGAGAGCACTTGCTGTTGTAGAGGACACTGCCTCAGCACTTGGGAGACAGAACCAGGTAGATCTCTTACCCTCTAGGCCTGCCAGGGTTACACAGTGAGACCGTATTTCAGAACAAAAGGTTGATGCCCCAGACCTATGTCATGAAAAGCCTTTAATTGTCTGGGAGTTTTATTTGGTGCATGTGTGGTGTGCTGGGATCAGACTCTTGCAGGCTAAGCAAGGACTGGACCATTGAGCTCCATCCATGAAGCCTGAAGGTCTCTTGCATAGTTTTGTAGCACAGAGCAAGATGGATTGAGATAAAGGTTGGATCCCCAGGCTTATCTCAGGGCTGGCATTCCATAGAGGCATTAGTTAAGTCTAAGCTGAAAGGCTGTGGTCAGTCTTGTGCCTGAGTGTGTGACTCGTGTTAAATCTCTCTACCTCCACAGGGGAAATGTGGTGTGTGGTTCATGGGAGAAGCCTTCCTGCACAGTCAAGCGGTTGGGTTCGGCTGCAGTTCCATGCTGGACAGGCCTGGGTCCCTGAGAAGAAAGGGAAAGTGATTGCCCTCTTCCTGCTTCCGGCCTGCAACTTTCCACCCCCACACCTGGAGGACAACATGCTGTGCCCCAAGTGTGTTCACAGGTAAGCGCTGGGCTCGCACACTGACAGTGGGAGCTTGGAGTTACCTCAGGAAAAGATACATTAATTTTAGTTAGCTGTGTTTTGATTATTACTTACTTTGCTCACGTCAGTAAACCTCCACAGCTTTGGGTTTACGGGTCTTACACTTGCTATGTGGATCAGGCTGATCTCCACTTTGGAGCAGTCTGCTTGCCTCTGCTTCCCAAGTGTTGGGATTATAAGTGTATATATACCATTAAGCCTAGCTGATAGCTTTTTGGTTGTGTTTTAGGACAAGGTCTCCTTGTGTAGCTAGGCCAGGCTGGGCTCAGAGTCCTCTTGTTGGGCTGGGAGATGACTCAGTTCATAAAGGTGTCCACAGCCAAGGCTTATGGCCTGAATTCTACTCCCAGGACCTATAAGGAGGAAAGATTGAACCAGTTTACCAAAGTTGCCAAATGATGACCACATGTGCATCATGGCATCTTCATATACACACACAGGAGAGATAGATGTAATTTAAAAAAAAAAAAGTTCCGTCCGCAGCACTGGGGAGGTCAGGAGGCAGAGGCAGGCGGATCCCTGTGAGTTCTAGGCCAGCCTGGGCTACAGAGTAGGTTCCAGGAAAGGCTCAAAGATACACAGAGAAACCCTGTCTCCAAAAACAAAACAACAACAAAAAACAAAGATGTTGAAGGAAATTGGTCCTTAGGGAAGGTTTCAGTCAACTGTGAGCTGGGTGTGGTGGTGCACACACTGTCTTTCAGGAGGACTGTCCACAAATTCAAGGCCACCCTGATCTACATAGTCTTTGTCTCAAATCAACATGCTTGCTTAGTCTCAAGGAGATTTTTTTTTTTAAGGTGAATAGAACTGAGGGGATTGTTTTGTTGTTTTGCTTGCTTTTGTTAAGTCAGGGTCAAACTTTGAGGACCGAGCATATCAGGGACCTCTTTCAGCCAGGGCCTGCATGGGGATAAAGTCATGATCAATTAGCTGATCTTCCATCTTTGGGGTGGTCAAAGGCCTTATTCACGATCTTTAAATTCTCTTGTTCTGTGGAGCTTGGACTTGAACCCACATATTTACCATAGAACTACATCCCTAGTGCAATTTGAAATTTTTATTTTGAGACTGGATCTTACCATGTAGCCCTGGCTGGCCTGGAAGTCACGGTAATGTGTTTGCAGGTCAAATGTGCACCACTCCTGATCTTTAAGTTCTTTGGCTGTTTTTGTTTACTTTTGAGACAGGATTTCCTGGAACCCAGGCTCACCTGGAACTTAGAGCTGAAACCACCTTAAAGTTCTGATTCTCCTGTCTCAACTTTCTTTTTTTTTTTAGAATTATTTATATTTTATGTATGAGTGTTCTGCACACCAGAAGAGGGCATCATATCCTCTTATAGATGGTTGTGAGCCATCATGTGGTTGCTGGGAATTGAACTCAGGACCTCTGGAAGAACAGCCGGTGCTCTTAACCACTGAGCCATCTCTCCAGCCCCCTGTTTCAACTTCCTGAACATGGAATTGGGATTATGGGTGTGCCCCCAGATTTGGTTTATTCGGGGCTGGGGATCAAACTCAGGGTTTCATGTGTGATATGTCCATTTCCAATCCATCTTGTCTTTTTGTATTTTGTTTTTTTTTTTTTTCAAGACAGGGTTTCTCTGTCTAGCTTTGGAGCCTGTCCTGGAACTTGCTCTGTAGACCAGGCTGGCTTCAAACTCAGAGAGATCCACCTGCCTCTGCCTCCCGAGTGCTAGGGTAAAAACACACAACACCACCACCACCTGGCCTATCTCGTCTGTTTTAAAGGTTGAAATTTGGTGATTCTTCCTGGTTCTGGCTTATTATCTGTATATGACATGCCTGTAATCCCAGCACTTGTGTAAGTGTAAGCAGGGATGATGGGGAATTCGGGACCAACCTGATCTACATGAGACCCTGTCAGTGCTATGGGAGGGTGGGGTGAGGTGGGGAAGGAGGAAATGAGTGAATGAATGAATGAATCCATGGATAAATTTATTTTCTAGGAACAGGATCTTAAATAAGAGCCTCCATGGATAAAAGGGAGATCTCTTAGGTTTGGGCTAGCTGCTGTCATCGCCCACTCTGGTGGAGTGGTCTACGGAACTGCAGCCAAGACAGAGACTGATGGAAACCCGAGTCTGTGCCCTAGAAGATGCCCATATCACCCAGAAACTGTGGGACATTGTTCACTAATTGTTGCTGTAGTTCGAGCAGCTTGAGAGAAGAACCAGTGAAGCCACCAAGACGCAATGGTTCCACCTCTGTTCGTTGCGATGACTAGGTTTAAGTGGCTATACCTCCTGTTGTGTGAAGATGAGAAAGTGTCCTACAGGTTTTGCTGCAAGGAGGTCCTGGGGCAGGAATATGACATCTCCAGATATAGTACTCAGCTATGGTACTGCTTGTCCTGTCTCCAGCACAACAGGGTCTTGGCCAGTTCTGTGGTCCATTGTAGAGACTTAGCTTATGCCTGTAGCCTCCACATGCCCTCTTTCCTGGGTTGTGTTATGTTAGTGTGTAGTCCTTAAGTGTGTTTTCTACTGTTGCAAAATATTACACCAAATCTGGTTTGTGGTTTTTGACTTTGTTTCTTTTCTGTTTGATTCGTTGACTTTCTCCCTGAATCCCTTCTTCCCCTCTCTGGACATCATGTTTGAAAGGACTTTGGAACAATGCTTGGAGCAGAGGGAGGCAAGGGGGTGGTATCATCTTGGCAGGAAGTCTTTCCATTAACTATCCACCCTGCTCAGGGTGTGAAAGGGAGTGAACACCACCACTACTTTGTGGACCCTTCTGCCAGGCATGCATGATCATTCCATAAAGGTGTTGAATGACCAAGGAACTTGCTTGCTTGGCTGTTCTGCGGGATTAAGTACAGGTTAGGGAAGAAGCATTCTGTGAGATCATTTGGTTCTGTCCAGGTGTCATCTACTGATGGAACCCCATTTGTAGTTGATGATGTGATACACTCAATGCTAGCCCCCATTTTTGCCTCCATTTTCTGAGATGGGCATGGAGCTAGAGGTCAGTACTCCATGTGCCTCAGATGAAGGCCCTGACAGGAGGGTGGCTGGTGTGCTGATGATGCTCATGGGAAGTCAGGATGAGATTTGCCCTTCACTTTTGCATCTAGATGTTAGAATCCAGCCATAAAGACAGGTCCCTGTCCACAAGTGTGTGTGGCATGCCTGCCTGTAAATTGAAGTTTTTCCATCAAAACTACAGTGTGAACTAAGATTACTGGTGAGGGTCTGACATCCTCGCAGAAGGAGGGTCGTGTGTGTCCAAAGCCTGCCTTGGCTCCATGGAGAATACAAGACCAACCTGGTCAATACGGTGAGAATGTCTCAGTGAAAAGGGCTGAAGTATAGCCGGGCGGTGGTGGCGCACGCCTTTAATCCCAGCACTCGGGAGGCAGAGCCAGGCGGATCTCTGTGAGTTCGAGGCCAGCCTGGTCTACAGAGCGAGTTCCAGGAAAGGCGCAGAGCTACACAGAGAAACCCTGTCTCGAAAAACCAAAAAAAAAAAGGTGGGGGGGCTGAAGTAACTCATGCAAGAGCACTTAACATACATGAGACCCCAGATTCAATCCTTGGTACCACTAACCACCTAACAGTGTCCCCCCGGGCCCCAAGTCCCTTCAAGCATAGTGGTACATTAGTAGGAATGATTTTAAAAGTCACTGAAGTGATACAATGGGACGTGCACAGTTATCACTGATAATTGCTTTGCCAAGAAAGACTTAATGTGAATCCAATCATGATGAAGCAATCAGTCCTGATTATATCTCTAGTCAGAGTAATTACTGGGTGAGCCTAGCAGGCGCCCTGTTTTTCTGTTTCTGACATTCTTAAACCCGAATTTCTGAAGTAAGTTAATAACTTAACACCATTCAAATATCATGTTTACCCCCTCTTGTATAAAATCTCTCTACCATAGCACCATTATTATTGAGTCTTATTTGGGGTGTCAGGTTCTTGGGAAACCCCCACATCCCTATGTAAAACACACAAAGAATTTGCCTGTGTGTTACATACACATTTAATTTATGTGTGTGTGTGTGTGCAGGGGGGAGCAGGGTGCCCACAGAAGTATCAGATCTTCTGGGGTTACGCAGGTAGCTGCAAACTGCCCAACATGGAGGCTGAAAACAAACTTGGGTTCTCTGGAAAAGCAGTAAGGGCACTAACTATTGAACCATCTCCAGCTCACATACTCATTTTTCCTTTGTTTTCAGGTGGTCGCAGTGTTAGCCTGGGCTAGTCTTGAACTTGCCTTTTTTTTAGCTTAGGCCATCTACCAACGCAATGACAGCCTATCTCTGCCTTGACTTCCGCGGCGCTGGGATTAGAGCAGGGAGCTGTCATAACCCAGCTCACAAGTTGTTTAATAAAACATTTTTTTTTTTCCAGTTAGAAGGAAACTGGGGGAAAGGGCTCAGGATGTATTCCATTGGTGAAGTTCTGGCTAGTGAGCATGAAGCCCTGTGTTAGGTCAACACTCAATAAGTGAACTATATAGTGTCCCTCACCTGTACTCCCAGGAGGCAAAGGCAGGAGTATGAGAAGTTCAAAGTCATCCTCAGCATGGTTATATAGAATGTCTATAAGACAGAAAATATTTTAAAATAATATTGAGCTAGTGAGGTGGTTTATCAGGTAAAGGCACCTGTCACCAAGGCTTAACTACCTCAGTTTGTTACCCAAGACCCACGTAGTCGAAGCAAAGAGCCAATCTGTGAGTTGTTCAGTGGCTAGATGTGGTTATGAATACATTTAATCACAGCACCTGGGAGGCAGAAGCAGGAGGATTTCTGAATTTTGGGCCAGCCTGGTCTATAAATCAAGTTACAGGACAGCAAGGACTACTTATAGAGAACCCATCTCCAAAAAACAAAACAAACAAACAAAAAAAACCACAGCAAGCCATGGGAAGCAAACAGCTCCCCTCTATGACCTCTGCATCAGTTCCTGCCTCTGGGATCTGTAGACCAGGCTGGCCTCGAACTCACAGAGATCCACCTGGCTCTGCTCCCGAGTGCTGGGATTAAAGGTGTGCACCACCACCGCCTGCTTGTTTTTTATTTTTCAAGACAGGGTTTCTCTGTAGCAGCTCTGGTCTCTGTAAACCAGGCTGGTCTTGAACTCACTGAGATTCACTGCCTCCATTTCCTAGGATTAAAGTGCTAGGATTAAAGGCTTGCCACCATACTCAGTCAAAAAAGTTTTGGTTTTTTTGTTGTTTTTTTTTAAGTGACCTCCACATATACACTACAGCACATGAGAAATTTTAAAAATTAGAGTACTAATATTAGCAATTGGCTAATGGGGAGCACAGGTTACTTAACAGGTGTATCAACTAATCAACTAATACACGAAGTTTTTTGTCAGGGGTGATAGAGACAGGGTCTCTGTGTAGTCCTGGCTGACCTTGAACTTAGAGATCCACCTACCTCGGCCTTCCAAGTGCTGGCATTAAAGACCGTGCCACCGCACCTGTGAGGATTTAACTTGGCGGGGGTGGGGGGGTGGGGGGGGTGGGGGGGGAAATACTCAATTGAATATATGAAAAGATCCCCTGGAAATGAAGTCAGACCACAACTGTATGAGCCTCCTGGAGGTCATTTCACTCCGAGGAGAAGCTAGAGTTCTTTTTTTGTTTGTTTGTTTTTGTTTTTTGAGACAGGGTTTCTCTGTGTAGCTTTGCGCCTTTCCTGGATCTCGCTCCGTAGACCAGGCTGGCCTCAAATTCACAAAGATCCGCCTGGCTCTGCCTCGCGAGTGCTGGGATTAAAGGCGTGCACCACCACCGCCCGGCTAAAGCTAGAGTTCTTAAACTGACCCTCAAGCCTTCCCTCTCCATTTTCTGCCGCCCTTATCTTAGAAATCCCCTCCAGCAACCCCCACCTCCCATTTCTTCCTTGGCCCCAATCCTCCCTGTGTTAGAGCCTTATCTTTTGCCTGGAATGCCTTCTTCCAGATTTCAGCTTGATCAACTTCCCTCAAAGTCCTGGCGGTGGAGCTGGCTAGTGGGAAAAGTGTTTTTTATCAAGCAAGCTTGATGATTTTGAGTGGAGTTCCGGGAGATGCCTGGAACCGGTGTGCAGCCAACACCTCACGCTTTTGTTTTCAAGCTTGCAGCTGCACCTCCTGCCCTCTCCACACTGCCTCGGGTTCCCATTTGACTTCTTCCTCTAGTAATGCAAAGACGAAAGGTTTTATAATGAGTTCCCAAATCGCAGTCTTGTTTGTTTGAGATAATGTCTGTCATCAGGGAGAATGATATCTCCATGTGAGGTTTCACCTGAAGCTTTGCCTTTTTCACCCCCACCCCCCGCCCCCTAACCCCCCGTGGTGCCTAGGATGGAATCCACAGCCTCGTGTGTGCAAGGCAAGCACTTCACTCCTTGAGTCTCTCTCGTATCCCACACGGTCTCCTAGAGCAGAGGTCTAACCCATAATTAATGCTCAGTCGACGTTTGCTTATTCCCCAGCACTGAAAATAACCACCAATGCTCGTCCGTCCCTTAAAACCAACAAAACACCGAAGGATGAGAATTGTAAATCACTTAACAGATCGGTATTAAAATCAACTCAGGGACTGGAGCGACGGCTCTGGGGTTTGAAGCCAGAGCCTAGAGTGCCGGCGTCCCTCCATCAGCCTGAGCCTGCCCCACAGGCAAGGATAGGCAAAGATAAGAGTGGAACAGGAGCCTACTGCACAACTTCAAACTGTCTCCACCTCCAAATACGGGGATACTAGGAGTAGTCGCGATGACCATTTCTCGTGCTGTGGCTTGAACCCACCATGCCATACACTTTACATGAACACTGCCCACACGGGTGTGTCACTGGCCAGGAAATTTGTGTTTTTTTGTTGTGTGTTCTTCTCTCTCTTTTTCTTGAGACGGAGTTTCTCTGTGTAGCCCTGCTGTCCTGAAACTCCCTCTGTAGATCAGGCTGGCCTCGAACGCACAGAGATCCACCTGCCTCTGCCTCCCAGTTTGTTTCATTTTGCTTTTATGTTTATTTACTTTT